AAGGACGGGAGGGGTGGGGGCCGTACCCCTGGAGCCAGAGGCCTGAAAGGGCACCCCCGCAACTAAGGACGGGAGGGGTGGGGGCCGTACCCCTGAAGGCGTCGTCTTCGTTCAGGAGGCTGAGCAGAACCTCCACCCTCCGGGTGCCGCGTGCTGCGCCCTCGTGCTGGTCTCTGAGCACCCCCACCGCACTCTGCACACAGCTCCTCAGGAGGCTGGTGGTGTCCAGGGCCTGCAGCAGCCACACAGCCACAGGAGCTGAGGTCTCCAGTCAGCTCACAGGAGCACACGCATTTGCGCTTCACGTGCACAAGACACTGCCAGCCCACCCCCAGCTTCTCCGGACGGCCACCCACGGCCCCTGATAACCGGCAACAGGACAGCTGCTCCTATGGGGGTTCGTCAAGGACCAGAGCCAAGCTAACCGGGAGACCTCACAGACAGGGGATGCCAGGCCTCTGCCTACAATTCTCAAGAACAAACCATGACATCAAAGGAGCCCTGGTGGCCCGAAGGTAAAGCACTCGGTTGCAAACTGAAAGGCCAGTAGTTCAAACCCACCCAGGGGCTCCACAGAAGAAAAGACCTGGCAATCTGCTCCTGTCACGATTTCAGCCTGGGAAACCCTGAGGGCAGTTCCACTCTGTCCTCTAGGGGCGCTGTGGGTCAGAATGGACTCCACGGCAGTGGGTGTGGTTTGAGCTTTGCTTCCGTGAAGATTGACAGCCTTGGAAGCCTCGTGGTGCAGTTCCACTCTGTCCTCTAGGGGCGCTGTGGGTCAGAATCCACTCCACGGCAGTGGGTGTGGTTTGGGCTTTGCTTCCACTAAGACTGACAGCCTAGGAGACCCTGTGGGGCAGTTCTCTGTCCTGGAGGGGCCGTGAGTTGGAATTGACTTGCTGGCACCTGCTGCCACCACCACCACGACCGGCCGCTGAGTCGGCTGCGACTCTTGGCGGCCCCACCAATCAGGGTGCAGCTATGTGCCACAGGGTTTCCAACAGCTGACTTTTTACAAGCAGGTCCCCAAGGACCTGGGATGGCCTCAAGCCTCAGCCTTTCAGCTGGAGGCCAGGGGTGTTAACCTTTTGTGCCATCTGACGATCCCAACGTATCCATCGCTGGGGGGCCAACGTAAAGTCCTCCGGCTGGAAGACCAGAGCTACAGATCGGAAGAGCCCCTCGGCAGGACACTGGGAGGCCTGGAGCGCTTACCTCACTGCTCCGCAGCCCAGACACTTCCTCCTCCATGGCTCGAGGGCTTTCCACCTCCATCTCCCCCTCTGCCGTCTCCCCTGGTCCCTCCGTCTGTGTTTCCATCTCCTCCCCCTCGCCGTGGCCCTCTGCTCTGTGCCCCACCTTGACGGCTACGGAAGCAAAGACAGCCCAGTCACTACTCAGGAGGCGACGTCGACACACCAGCAACGCTTCCTGTGAGTGCAAGCACTGAAGACACCACCCCTGCAGGTGCCTGGGCACCTCGGGTCACGAGGCAACACCTGTCGTCCAGACGAGCCTCGAAGCCACCCTCAGTGTGGCTCACTGGTGCCCACCCCTCACTCCTGTCCTGGGCTCTGACAGAGAGGCCACCACAGATGCGTTCTGCAGGCGCTCTCTCAAGGACCCACAAGTGCAGTGAGTACCCCGCCTCTGCCGGCCTTGGGGAGCAGTCAGACCCATGGCCTGCACCCCCCGCCACAGGCCGCGCCCACGGTGCCCGGTGGTCTGCGCAGGCACACCCACACCCCACCCAGTAGCACGCACCCTCAGGCTTGTCCTGTGGCTTGAACAGCTGGCTGATGGGGATGTTCTGCAGCTTAGTCACGTCGGCAGCCATGACGGTGGATCTGCGAAGGTCATCAATGTGCACGCACTGCCACAACCCTGCACGGCAAAAAGCCCCGTGTCCCCTCAGGTCCCTCCCGAGCAGGGACGCGCTCCAGGTCCTGACACCTGCACACACGCTGCCTACATCCTACACCTACTGCACCTGCCGCTCCCACGGCAGGTTTGAGAACACAAAGAACTGACTTGTAAAGGGCACCTGAACCAAGTGTTCCTGTCTCATCTACCTCTTACTCAACTGGCTATAGCGTAATTAACACGTGGGGGTAAGACCCTGGCAAAGTGCGTCTCCTACCATTATCTCCATAAAATTATCACGGTAAACTGTTAGGCTCCTATTTCTGGAATGCCAATTTTCTTATGAGATACACAGGATTTTAAGACAGCACTGTTGTTGTTGTTAGGTGCCATCAAGTCAGCTTCGACCATGGCGACTCTGTGGACAACAGGACAAAACAGTGCCCACTCCTGTGCCCGCCTCACAATCCTTGCTACACTTTAAAGCTTTCCAGTAATGTATCAGACAGGATCTCCCGGCTATTCGTAAGGTTCTCACCGGCCAATTCTTTGAGAAGTGAATGGCGCCTTCCTTCTTCCGAGTCTGTCTCAGTCTGGAAGCCCCACTGAAACCTGTCCACCATGGTGACCCCACTGGTATTTGAAATACTGGTGGCAGAGCCTCCAGCCTCACAGTGACATGCCAGCCCCCACAGGATGACACAATGACAGATGAGTGGTGGGGAAAGCCTGTGACCTCAGAACCCCGAGTGACATGGCCATGTATTCACAGCAGTGCTGGTCGGGGAGACCCTGTCAGCACTGTCCATACCAGCAAAGGCAGGGAACCGGAGAGATTTTTAGGAATCATGTGAAAGACACGTAAAGGAAGGTGCGCTGTACCTTCAAGTCCCCAGATCGCTGGGTTTATTGTTGGCTTTTTTTTTTTTGGTAGTAATTAATAGTAAGAAATTCAATTGCATCTAAAAAGAATATGCAGGTAAATATTCCTGTTTCAGACCTGCACAGCACTGGACAGAATCAGAAACACTGCCCTTCACCGAAATAAACATCAGCACCAGTCCTTTGCCTCGGAAACCCAAGGAGGGGTCGCTGCAAGTCGGGTCCGACTCGCCGGCACATACCATCCACAGCAACAACCAGCCTTTCGGTCCTACCTCCGTGGGACCCCACGTAGGACGTTCCACTTCCCATCCGGGAGAGCTTCGTGATGAAATAGACCAGGACGCAGCCCTGCCTTCCCTGGACCTTGTTGATTTCATTGATGGCGGCGTACCTATTTTAAAACGACACAGACAAAGGTGAACTGTGACGAGGCAGAAGCTGTGCGGCAGCTTTACGCGCAGGATCACAGCTGCACGTTGGGCTCTCATTTTGCTGAACCTCGAACTGTCGTCTTTCTCCTTCCTCCAGGAGGCAGACTGTGAACGCTCTCATCTAGTTGAGCGGCTCACTGTCCGCGCCCCATCTGCGTCCCTCACGGCTCATCAGCTAGACAACCTGTCTTCCGATTCCTGTGTGCTGGGCTCACTGGTGCCAGCGGCGGGGCTGGCTGGCCTTGCCCTTTCCCAAACGTGACCCCCACACACCAGCAAGCAGCACAGTGTTTCCCAGCGGCCCTAACGAGCCCGGGAACGAACTGTGGTTCCCAGGCCTTTCCTTCAACTGAGCAAGAAGGAACGGTGCCTGGTCAGTGAATCAGCTCATCCTGCAAACGCTGCACCTCACCAGGAACATCAACGAAACATTGACATTCCGCTACCACCAGCTCTGCTGGCGCAGTGCCTAAGGCACCTGACTGCTGACCAGAAGGCTGGCGGTTCAGACCCACCAGCCACCCCTTGGAAGGAAGATGGGGCAACCTACTTCCGTAGTGATATTGCCTCGGAAACCCAAGGAGGGCTGGCTATGAGTCAGGTATAACTCGACGGCACATAACAACAACAACAACACCTCCCTTGAACTTGCAGCAACTTCAGGTTGCAGGATTCACAGCTGACTCCTGCCCAAACATGTCTGCGAACACACGCTTCAAGGATGTGTCCTTACATCCTGCTAACAGTGTATTCAATTCACACTTCCTCTGTATCGCACCCTTGTGCTGTGCTGAGTCCTCACTGTCTTGGGAACCTCAACCCTCTGATTCTCTAGTCCCCGTCTGGGGAAACGAGAAAAGGGGAGAAAGCCTTCTCTCGCATCGCTATTTACTGCATGAAACTGTCTCCAGGAAAGGACTCTGGGTGTGCTTCTGAATGAACTCCGGTTTCCTACGTAGCTTCTGAGGAAACGCTAGAAACCTACTTAGCTGAGGCAATGAGCTGAGCGCTGTGAGTGCCATCTTCAAAATCTGTCTGAATAATGAGGATTTTACACCCGACTGTGTCAGTGAGGCAGTTTCTGGAAAGAGAAAGAAAAGCATTCTGGTCACTTCTCTGTCCCACGATACGGGAACAAAATTCCCAAAGGTGACAGGAGACATCAAGGTGACAGAGAAACCACACTCGGGGTTCTCTGTAAGGTGAGTCGAGAACCCAGAGCAAAACCCTAAGTGCTTCCCAGCCAACCAGAAGGACAAGGGTGCAGGCAAGATGCTTACGACAGGGACAGAACGGCAGGCCAGGGAGGGGCCGATTAGCTCCCCTCTCCCTGAGTCCTCACAGCTCATTAACCAACACTGGCAACAACGAAAGTGACTAGCCACGTTGGCAGCAGTTGTCAACTTCGACCACGGTGACCCCACGCGTGTCAGAGTCAAACCGTGCCCCACAGGGTTTTCATAGCCAATTTCTTGGGAGGAGACGGCCAGGCCTTTCCTCCAAGGTACCTTGGGTGGAATCCAACCCCCAACCTCTCAGTGAGCAGCTGAGTGCTAAACCGGCCGCACCACCCGGGGCTCCAGCCATGTGGTAAAGAAACACAAAACACCAGGGTGGGGTAGGG